ATTATACTCCATGTGCTCAAGATAGAACCTCAAGCAGCTAGTCACATCACATTGGCACTCAAAGCAGGAGAAAAATGGATGGATGCTCCCACTCCGACTGCTTGCTGCAATCTACCGTCACCGTCACCCAGCTTTCCTTGTCCTATATAGTTCAGGAACTCCTGCCCAGGGAACAGTGTCACCTGCTTCTTCCTACATCAACTAACAATTCAGAGAATATCCTAAAGACATCCCCCTAGCAATTTGATCCAAACATTTTCTTATTAAGATTATTCTCTTTCTAGATAATTTTAGGGTGGAGCAAGTTGAGATTTTAAACTAATCACGGTATCTAGGGTCCCTCACACCTGTAAGATTCTTCTTTGAGTCACTTTTCCTGGAAATCAAAGCAGCCTGCTCTCTGATCAATGTCTCCCTTGGCCTGGGACTCAGCATTGCCTGTGTGGAAACAACCCCACTTTTCTGTCTGGTGAGTCAACGTAGCTGACCAAAATTAAAGAGCGAGACATGAATAGAGTGTGTTCAATGCCACAGTGTTGGAGTGCAATCCAAACCCTGTCTTCAAAGTGTAAGTAGCTCCAAGCAGAGAAAGAGACCCTTTGTGGCTAACTTAGGGAAAGTAGGACAGGAACTCCAGTGATAAGCACACATTGAGGGCTGTTCACAGAGGAGGCATTTATTAGCAGAAACAATGTGTGAGATGCTTTTCTCACACACGCTTAGAACAGGTCTCTAGACGGTGAAAATCCCAAGACAGTGTCAAAGCAGAAAGAGAGCACAGCACCTGACCTTTGCAGCTTTGCTCAGTCTGTTTTTTTTTTTTTTTTTAATGCTCAATTATTCATGTTTGGAAGGAGCCATGGGAATAAAGCTGGGTTTCTCCAGCACCATTCCAGAAGATATTTCTCTCCCTTCACATAAGATTCCCTAAATCTGAAACAGAGAGAGAGAGGAAGAAAGAAAGAAGCAAACAAACAAGTTCACAAAACCGAAAATCAAAACAATCAAAAGTTTTTGTATATATATTGTTCTTTCTGTTTTTGCTTTGTTTTAAGAGAGAAAGAGAAATAACAAAGTTTGAATGGGTAGAAGGAGAATTTGGATAAGGGAAAAACATGATTAAAATATATTATATGATTTTTAATGAGTAAAATAAATAAATCCCATCACATTCACAATTAAGTTTAACCATCACACAAGGCAAGCACTGTACCACTGAAGCCATCTCCCAGCCCTTCAAGACTGTTATTTAATTTGGTGTGTCCGACCCCACAGTTTTTATGACAGGTTGGTCTGTGACAACAATTCTATGATGGCTCTAAGAGGAATAGTGGGGGTTTTGTTTGTTTGTTTGCTCTTGTTAGGAGAGAAACGATGCCTTCCAAACTCTACCTGTCAGAGTAGAAGTGCAAAGCCTCTGATTTTCCGCCTGTGTCTGTTGTGCAGGACACGTGCATATTTGTGTATGTATGTGTGGGCATGTTTGCACCTGTGTATCAAGGCCAGGGGCCGACCTCAGGTGTCTTGCTCCACTACTCTCCACCTTATAGACCGAGTCAGGATCTTTCATTGAACCTTAATGTTGCTGATGCTGTGGAACTAGTAATTAGCTGACTTCCTCCAAGGATACCTTGTTTCTGCCTCCTGACAGGTGCGATTACAGGCAGGCCACCACACTAGGAGTTGAATTGTGGTCTTCATACTTTACTCATTGACCCATCTCTATAACTCCAGCCTATTATATATATATATTTAATGCTAAAAGTAATTGTAGATCTATGATTGATAATAGTGTGTGCATTTATTTCTATTGACTGAGAAATTAACTACTATTGATTGAAGTATACCGCATAATAAATAATACAGTACGGGCTATTTATAGAGGGCCTCAATAAAGGTTTTGGAGACAAGTATGTCACATGAAGGAAATGTCACTTGAGACATTTTTAGTGAGAATGCACTCGACACATGACATAAATATTGATTCAATTATCATGATTAATCTCTTTATCGCTAAGTTAACTGTGTATATGCTATCACTTCTATATACCAAGGATTCAAGGGTTGTATGTTGAGAGATATGAAAGATGTTGAGATGTTGGGAGGGAAATGGGCATATGTAATCATATTTCACAGAAATGCTTAAGAATAAAAAAATGATACAGAGGTAATAGAAGCACAAATGTACGTTGCCACTATCCTAATCCATGTAGACAATATAACAACAACAACAAAAACTGACCAAACATTGATAAACAAGAGATATTTGCTGCTGGTAGAGAAGGCCACATTCAAAGAGCCAGCAGTTTCAGCATTTGGTGAGAAAGTATTCATCATGGAAGGTGCCTTCTGTGTGTTCACATAAGAAGAAAGGGAAAACAAGGGTCCCCAAACTCCCTCAGGCACAAATTTCATTTATAAGGGTGAAAATCTCCATCATGACCAAAAACCATACAAAAGGCTCCATCTCTTCCCATCATTACGTTGGCTATAATTTGTCACATAAAGACTTGGGAAGATACAGGCACCTGGGCCAGTCATCTATGACAAGATCATCGTTGCTATTTAGGATGAAATGCCCTTCACACTGTCTCCTTTTCCCCTCTGGCTTGCAAACCGGAGACTGTCATAGAGCAATGCTCTCTCGGTTTGAAGAGCACACATTCTGCCACATTAAAACACTGCTGAAATTAAGATGCTCTGTGCACACTTCACACCACGTTTCTTTTACCCTCGTCAGCCATGTGTAAGTTAACAGCCCATTTTTACATCCAGTAGCCTATTAAGAGAAAGGAGATTCTTGTGTGTTGTTTTTCTTCAGTTTCTTCTGCTTTGCTAGGACCTTGTTAAAACAAGAAATAGAAATATATTCACTCTGGCATTTTGATTCCTAGCACAAGGGGGGCTTGAGAAGGGTGAAATGACTGAATAAATAGACAAGCAAAGAAAAGTGTTCACCAAGCAAAAAGAAAATACATTTTACAACACCCCAGTGGACATAGCCATGACCTATCTCTCTGTCTTCATCTTATACTCTTCAAACATCCCTCTGGTCAAGGGCTTGGTCTCTGGAGGTGGCATTTCTCCCTGGAGGAAGTGTTTTGTAAACATTCTCTGGCTGACTTTTCATGTCCTGTCAGTGTCACAGAGGAAATTATTCATTTGGCATGCTGCTTCATCCCCCAGGCTCTTAGCTATTTGGACGGTGTTGACAGCCCCTTCAACTGGTTCCAAGTGGACTGACTGAGTTACCCAACGACTGCTCCTGTCATATCTCTCCATCCATGCACTGGGTGCATGTCATTAAACATAAAAGGGCCACATCCAGACCCTCTATTACAGATGTCTGGACTTTCTGCCATCTGCAAAGTGAACACCTCTGATGCATGTATTCTGATACAGATCCAAAATGTTCCTCAGTACTACTATGAGCACGTGCTAAAGCAGAAATGACAACGCCAAAGGACCAGACTCACAAAGCACAACTTACAAGTTGTTGAAAGCAAGCAAGCTACTGGGGCTATACCTGAGTTGGTATAGTGTTTATCTCAGATGCATGATGTCTTGGTTTTGACACAAAGACTGGGATACAAAAGACCCTGTCTCCAAAACCAGAACATGCTTGTGATACTTTGCATATTCACTGCCTGATGGTAACAGTAATTAGTATAAAGAGCTTTAGAGTTTACAGTGCCTTAAGTGCAAACATCAAAACAATTCGCAAGTGTATTAGTCGGTATTCTCAAAAGAAACAGTACTAATAGAACAAATATGTATTTTAATGAAGGAGTTATTAAATTTGCTTACACAATATATTCTAGGATTTCAAACATACAGATGTCTGCAAGCTGATAACTTGGTCCACAGGGCTGGATGTCATGGTAGTTTCTTTGTTGTTCTGAAGGCCAAGAGTATCCCTGAAGAGCTATTGGTCTTCAGTCCATGGTAGAAAGTTAGAAAAGCCGGGATCCAGTGTCAGTGAAAGCATGGCTGATGTCCTGGCTATCACAGAGCAAAAGTGGCCAAGTAAAAGCAGCAGTGCTTCCCTTCAAACTTCTTTATATCTAGGCCACTTTCAGAAAGTGCTGCCCCTTGGAGCACCCTCAGTAAATGCTTCCAGCAAATTCCCTGTCAGACCTGTACAGGGGCATGTTTTTAGTTTGACATCACATCCAATCAAACTGACAACAAAGATTAACCATTACACCAAGGCACATACTGAGAATTCTCAGTACACTCTTTCTATGCACTTAGTCTCATCAGTTTCTTTTGAATCCTTATAAGAACCTCATAGGTGCACAAAGAATTGATATTAAAAAATATCGATGGGGCCAGAGAGACGGTTCTGCGGCTACCAGTGGTTGCCACCAAGCCTGTTGACCTGAGTTCAACCCCTGGAACCCACAGAGTAGAAAAAGAGAGCTCACTCCACAAGTTGTACTGTGATCTCTATTATGTGCCTTGACATGTGTGTCCATGCTGAATTCATACATGATTTCATTTTACACTATCAAATTATGCTATGCAACCAAAATAACAATAACTGCATGAAATTGACACTCAGACATAAAGACCAACAGATTCAAGTAGAAACAGAACGAAGCCCACACAGTTAAAGAAATATAGTTTTTAATAAATACACCCAAAACATCCATTGAAGAAAAGATGCATTTTATGGAATTAAATAGGGAACTATACATGTCCATATGTAGAAGAATTAAAAGAGAGCCCTTACTCTCAACTTACTAAAGTAAGCTCAACAGCCAGCAAGATGACTCTATTGTGGAGTCTGCTTAGATACAATATAACTCAAACACCAGGTCAATGCAGACGACGAAAAATTATTGTAATCAAACTGCTACTGATCTATCAGGGGCACAAAACAGACTTAAAAACTGAATTGTGGCCTCTAATTGGAACTCCGAGTCGGGGCTATTTCTGGTGTTGGCGCGGCTCCAAGAAAGCTCTCTCAACTGCCCCAGAGAGAAGGAAGATGAGTGAGTCGTGCTCGCTCGAAGTCCAGCCAGGCCCTGGCCTCCAAGCAGGAAAAGGACGGGGCTGAGAAGGGAGGCCATGGCAGGCCACGCAAGCAGCCTCCGGTGAGTCCTGGGACAGCGCTGGTAGGGAGCCAGAAGGAGCCCAGTGAAGTGCCAACACCGAAGAGACCCCGGGGCCGACCAAAGAGAAGCAAAAACAAGGGAACCGCCAAAACACGGAAAATTACCACAGCTCCAAGGAGGAAACCAAGGGGCAGACCCAAGAAGTTGGAGAAGGAGGAAGAGAGCGCTTCCCAGGAGTCCTCGGAGGAGGAGCAGTAACCACCACAGAGCCTGCTCCTTGGCCACTGAGGAGCAGCTTTTCCCCTGGGACTGGAAACCCTGTTCCCAGGGCCCTCCCCGCCCCCACTGCACACTCCCGCACTAGCTGCAGGCTCTGCGGCACCCACGGGGGCAGGCTTCGGCCCCGTGCCCTCCTCCCCGCCACACCTGCCCTCTCTCCCGACAAGGCTAACCTCCCACTCAGCTGCAGCCCATCCTGCTGCGCATCTCCCTTAGAGGCCTGCTCTCTGGGCTCTTCGTTTCCCCAGCCCCTTCTGCTCTGCTGTTCCTGGCTTCCTTGTAGGGGGTCCTGGGAGCCTTCCCTGGCCTTAAGAGGCCCCAGGCCCCGCTCCTTCTGACAAGCCCCGTTGGCCGAGGGGGCAGCAGCAGGTGTGCTCAGGCAGGGGATGCTTAGGTCCCGGCATACCCCGCACCGAACGATGACCAGGTGGGTTTTTTCGGTCTCTTCTGCCCCACCCTACCCAGACCCAGGGGGTTGGCTAAGCCCCTTGGGCTACTGGAAGCAGGACAGGTGTCGGCCCCACCCACCTTGTTCTCACCTGGAACAGTGACAGATGGAAGTTAACACCCCTCTCCAAGGTGAGGTCCTCTTTGGCTTCCACCTGTGGCAGAAGGGGGACTTACTGCCCACCCACCCCCCACTTCCACTCTAGGCAGCCCCCTTCCTGCAGCAGGCACTACGGAGCTAGCCTTGGCCCCTCCTTTTGCTCCTCCTCGGCCCCCAAAGTTCTGGCTCCCTCTTTTCCTCTGTTCACAAACTACCTCTGGATAGTTTGTTGTTCAGTGTTCATTCGTAGACACCCACCATTGCTGTTGCTACCAGCGCCAACATTTATCCTCCCGTTTTGGGGTTTGTTTGTTTGTTTGTTTGTTTGTTTTGCCTGCACTCTCCTCCCCAAGACACTCTAGGGGAAGGGGGCTGGGGCACAGCAGGCCGGTCACCTACTCCACACCAGGGAAGGAGGGGGCCCACTTTGATGGGAAAGGGTGTAGGACCACCGACTCCCCTTGTTCTGTGGGGGAGGGGTGGCCAGTGTTTGTCCCAGCCTGGGGCCTCTCTCTGGTTTCCTATTTGCAGTTACTTGAATAAAAAAAAAAAATAGCCTTTTCTAGGGAAGAAAAAAAAAAAAACAAAACTGTATTGTGGAATTCCCCCTCCCCAAATCCAGAATGTTACAGAGCTTTTAAGCTTGAAAACCACAGTCATCCATGCCAAGTTGTAGTTACATTTTTCTAACAATCAGAATTTAGGGATAGGGGACTTCCTTAGGAACATGTCTTTGTGGTACACCTGCCTGTTCTCCTTGATTGGTTTCTTCAACTGTGGCAGGGAGACTTGCCTAGCATTCATGTCTCAATTTGCCAACCAGGATGTCAGTTATCTCTCTCTCCCTCTCTCTTTCTTTCTCTCTCCCTCTCTCTAGGCCAATCAGGATGTCAGTTACTCAGTGAGGTCTTAGGAACTTAAATTTTAGTTGACCTCTATTCAAAATGGAAGTTTTATTCAAGAAGGTTTCAATTTGGTTTCTTCTGACAGCTCCATAGGCAAAAGTGCTTGCCACACATGCTTGACAACCTGAGTTTGACACCAGATACCAGTGAAAGCATCTGTAATCTTGTTGTGTCTCTACAGGGACGTAGGAACCAGAGGCAGGAGAATCACCTGGAAGCTCCCAAATCAATCATCCTATAAACTATGAGCATAAGAGGAGAGGAATTTCAGGTCAAAAGCACAGAAATATCTAAACTAAAACCATAAAAGAAATTTTCCCAAATCTAAGGAAAGAGATGTCAATACAGGTACAAGAGGCACACAGAACACCAAGCTACTAGGACCAGAAAATACATTCTTCATGCCATATTATAATTTAAACATCAAATATATAGAACCTTTGTATTGGTATTGAAAGCTCCAAGAGAAAAGCCAGAAGTCATATAAAAGATAAGCCCAACTGATTTCTTCATGGAAATTATAAAAGCCAGGTGATCTTGGAGCAATGTGCTAAAAGTTCTAAAAAAACACAGAGTCAACCCAGACTATTTACCCACCAATACTATTCATCATAACTAATGAAAAAAAAAATCCAGGATAAAAACAGAAAATTATGACAATCAAGTTAACTCTACAGAGAATATTGGAAGGAATACTTTGGACTGAAGTGGATAAATGTATCCAAGAGGCTACAGTGTAAAAGAAAATGGTTGTTGGAAGGAGAAAACAGGAAACAGGACAGGAGCATACCACAGAGGGCCTCTGAAAGACTCTACCAGCAAGGTATCAAAGAAGATGCTGAGACTTATATCCAAACTTTGAGCAGAGTGCAGGGAATCTTATGAAAGAAGGGGGAGATAGTAAGACCTGGAGAGGACAGGAGCTTCACAAGGAGAGCAACAGAACCAAAAAATCTGGGCCCAGGTATCTTTTCTGAGACTGATACTCCAACCAAGGATCATGCATCAAGATAACCTAAGACCCCTGCACAGATGTAGCCCATGGCAACTCAGTGTCCAAGTGGGTGGCCTAGTAAAGGGAACAACAGGAACTGTCTCTGACATGAACTCAGTGACTGGCTCTTTGATCACCTCCCTCTGAGGGGGGAGAAGCCTTGCCAGGCCACAGAGGAGGCTAATGCAGCCAATCCTGATGAGACCTGATTAGCTAGGGTTAGATGGAAGGGGAGGAGGACCTCCCCTATCAGTGGACTTGGAGAGGGGCATGGGAGGAGCTGAGGCAGGGTGGGAATGGGAGGGAATGAAGGAGGGGACTATAGCTGGGATACAAAGTGAATAAACTGTAATTAATATAAAATAATAAAAATTTAATAAAAAAGAATATAAATTTTTTAAATGGTTGTTTTGCAAAGGACTAAGAAGACAGAAACCACAAAATGAACAAAATGATAATAATTAATATACATCATTCAGTTATAACTCTGAATATTAATAGTCTCTATTCTGTACTCAAAAGATCCAGGTGTGTCAATTGGGTTAAAAATTCATTGAATTCCATGAAAACAGAAAGCACAACAGATCAAAACATCTGAGATATAATGGAAGCAAAGCAATCTCAGAGGAAAAGTTACATTTCTAAGAACCTACACACATGTAATCCCAGAACTCAAGAAGCTGAAGTAGGAAAATCATGAGTTCTAGTTCAGCCTGGCCTGTATAGTATGACCCTTTTTTCAAAACAAAGTTTCAGTTAAAAATACAGAAAAGAGCATGAAGCTTATATGATATAACCCAAATATCCAACACATGTGCAGTTGAAATCTCAAAAATTAGAAGAAAAAGAGAATGGTCAAAAACAAAACTGTAAGAACATCTGGCTGAATTTTTTCTAAAAGTATTGAAAGGGGTCAAGATGTAGACAAAAAAACCAAAACAAAACAAAAAAAAAAAAACCTCTTTAACCCACCAGATATAAGCCAGATGTAAACAGAGGGCAGTCTCTCAAGAATTTAAACATCTACCTACCATATGATCATGTAAATGTTTATACACTATTAGGGAAAGCAAGTTTACATCAGAGGGCCCTGAGGCCCATTCACCTTTAGCTGTACCGCAAATAAGGAAAACGAAAGGCTGAATGTGGACTCCAGATTAGTGACTGAGGCCTGGGGATTCAGACCATGCTTGAGAACAGGAAATTCTGAGTCAGTGGGCCTGAATTAGAGTAGGCACTTCAGGACCCTGAACAGAAGATTTACCTGCGCACACATCAGTTGTCAAATGAAATGAGGATGATATAATAATCATCACATAAGGCTGATTCTAGTGCTCAGAGGGAACATAACATATCTCAGACATTTCCTGAAATACAACACAGTGATACAAACAATGTTGGTGCCATTTACAATAGTGTCCCTATGCTGACAGGTCAAAAGTTCCAAACATATTCACTGTGCCTACTAAGCTAGGGTTAAAATGTCCCTCAGAGGGCACTCTGTATGATTGTCCTGCCTGTTTCAAAGGTCATGATTTTTTTTTTCTATCTTTGGATCCCATTATTTAAGAAATTTTCATCACTGGGATCCCACAGGCAAAATCATTTCTCCATCTTAGCTGATATTTTCTTACTCTGCATAGCACACTGCTTTGACATTCCCCTAAAGAATCAAGTTATTAGGCTCTCTTTTCCTCCCAAATGTGCTCTGCAGTCGCCTGCAGGGTTCACTAACGTCTGCTCTAGACCAAGACTGGAAACAGCCGCCCTTAGTTAACACAGAAGCCAAAAATATCACCTTCCCTTGGTAGAATAATTTATTCAGTTTAGACCAGCATTTTCTTTCACTGTCCTTATTTTCAAAAACAATGCTGAGTGTAGGTTGGTCTGTTCCTCAGACACCGATGGGGCAGCCAAACACTGACACAGGAAACAGGACGTCAAGTTTTCTGTTTCTTTCCACTCATTTGTTCAAATAAGATATACGGAGAGCCCACGTACCAATGTCAAGCACACTCCAGGGACCAGGAACAGCGGCGAACAAGCCAGGGAAACATCAACCACCAACTTCAGAGAGGCACAGCACACCAAAAGGTGTTCAAATCTCATGTAATTGTCTTTTTGATAAGAGATAAGAGAACAAATCAGGGGATTCTGGGGGAGCCACTAACAGTCTCTCGAAGATGGTGTTCCCCACCTCTCTTCACTGGACTAAATATGGAAAGGGCTCTGGTGATGAAGAGATATGAATTCAAGGAAGGCTGGTACTCTACTCAAATCACAAAGAGATGGAAATGGGGGCTGGACACCTCAGGTAAGCGGGATAGATGGTATGAGTCCAAGTAGCTGAGTATCTCTCGAAACTTTCTGAAGTGTCTCCTGCTCTGGTGGACACTGGAAAGCTTTTTTTTTAAAAAAAAAAAATGCTTGCCAGACTTTGCTGAAATAGCTTTGCATGTGATTCAGGTCTGTCTCCCGTTAGCCATGGCAGGAGCATCTTTGATGTGACATCATTTTATTTTGCCAGATCTAA